TGGAAATGTTAAAGAGTGTTGTTTTCTGACAATAATAAGTTAGAAATCAGTAGTATGATAGAAAATCAACAAATATTTGGAAATTAAATAGCACACTTTTTTATTTTCCCAGTGTCAAAGATGAAATCATAAGGAATATTAGAAAACATTTGAAGTGAATGATAATAAAAACATTAAATTAGTAGAAAACAGCTAAAGTAACATTGGAGGAAAGTTTTAATATTAAGTGCTTATTTTAGAAAAGAAAGGTTGACAAACTTTCTCTATAAAGGGCCCGATAGAAAACATTTTAGGCTTTGCAGGCCAGGTAAAAAAAAAATTGTAGATAGCCTAGGCTGGGTAGCTCATTTGGTTTAAGTGTCATCCCAGTAGCTAGGTTGTGGGTTCGATCCCTGGTCAGGGCACATACAAGAATCAACCAATCAATGCAGAAAATCAGTTTTAAGAATTATATTCTGTAATATATTTATCCTCCCAACGTTTTTTTTTTTTTTTTTTTAATCCTCACCTGAGGACATTTTTGCATTTATCTTCAGATAGAGCAGGAAGGAGAGAGGAAGAAAGAGAAAGAGAGAAATATCAATGTAAGAGAGACACATCGACTGGCTGCCACCCACATGACCCCAGGCGGGGCTGGGGACAAACTGCAATCGAGGCATGTGCCCTTAGTGGGAACCGAACCTGGGTCTTTCTGGACCGTCGGTCAATGTTCTAACCACTGAGCCAAACCGGCCAGGGCTCCTCCTAACTACTTAAAAAAGTAAAAACCATTCTTTGTTGGAGAGTAATATGTAAATATGGGCCTGATTTGGTCTTTGCTGAACCCTGATTTATATTTCCATCTTAAGCTTCTAGAACAGTGGTTCTCAACCTTCCTAATGATGTGACCCTTTAATATAGTTCCTCATGTTGTGGTGACCTCCAGCTATAAAATTATTTTTGTTGCTACTTCATAACCATAATTTTGCTACTGTTATGTCTTAGGCGACACCTGTGAAAGGGTCGTTTGACCCCCAAAGGGGTTGCGACCCACAGGTTGAGAACCACTGTTCTAGAATAAAAACAAATTAAACCTAAAATAAGTAGAAGAAAGGAGATAAAGATAACAGTCAATTAGCCCGGCTGGTATGGTTCAGTGGTTGAGCGTCAGCCCATGCACCAAGAGGTCACCAGTTTGATTCCAGGTCAGGGCACATGCCCAGGTTGTGGGCCAAATCTCCAGTGGAGGGCATGCAGGAGGCTGCCAGTCAGTGTTCTCTCTCATCAATGTTTCTGTCTCTCTCTTCCTCTCCCTTCCTCTCTACCTAAAATCAATAATAATAATAAAAAAGATAACAATCAATGAAATAAAAAATGGACAGTTGAGCCCAGCCGGTGTGGCTCACTTTTACCAGTTCGATTTCTGGTCAGGGCACATGCCTGGGTTGTGGGCTCAATCCCCAATGTGGGGCAGGGTGCTGGAGGAAGCAGATCTATGTTTCTCTGTCATGGATGTGTCTGTCTGTCTCTCCCTTCCTCTCTCTGAGATCAGTAAAAACATTTTTTTTAAAAAAGGACAATTGAGACTATTAGTAAAGCCAAAATGGTTGTTTGAAAAGATCGATAAATTGCTAATTCTCCAGCCAGACTGATCAAGAAAAAGGGAGGAGACAGAAATTACCAAAATGAGGACTGGAAAGTTGACATTTCGACAGACATTAAAATTAAAATAAAAGAATATTATGTATAACTTTATGCTAATAAATTCAGCAACTTAGAGGAAATAGAAAAATTTCTTGAAGGACACAAACTTTCAAATATCAAAAGTCACTGCAACCCTGGCTGATTTTGTTCAGTGGTTAGAGCATCGGCCCATGGACTAGAGAGTCCCAGGTTCGGTTCCTGCTAAGGGCACATACTTCAGTTGCAGTTTGTCCCTGGCCCTGGTTGGAGTTGTGTGGGTAGCAACCACTCGATGTGTGTCTCTCACATCAATGTTTCTCTCTCTCTTCCCACCTCTCTCCTTCCTGCTCTATCTGAAGATTTTTAAAAAAGTCACTCCAGAAGAAAGATAACCTGAATAACTTATTATTGCCATCTATTGAAGAAATTTAATTTATAGTTAAAAAGTTTTCTTCCCACAAGAACATTTTATGTCTAGACAGCTTTACCGGTGAGCTTTAGCACACATTTCAGGAAGAAATAGTAACAATTCTATGCACACTTTTTCTGAAAATTAAAGATGAGGGAATGTGCCCTAACTTACTTTAATAGGTTAGCATTATCCTCAGACAGCCACTGCAAGGAAAAAACCTACAGACCAATATCCCTCATGAGTGTAAGCAGAAATACTTAACAAAGTATTAGCAAATAGAAGTCGGCTATATCTTCAGTTGGGATGCAAACCCCCTGCCTGCACAGCATCTACCTTGGCCTCTCCTTGTCTGCTCTGTGGAACTGATACAAACATGGTGTTCATGTTCCTTACTGTGCTGTGAGTAATAAATCCTGTGTCTCTGACCTAGGATTACTGTATGGTCTGCCAGTAACCATGAAAGAGTGACAGACTACTTTGTTAGCATGCTTAGAGGGTCAAAAATCTCAAACTACTCAAAGTTCTTGACAGTTTTGGCCTTGAGGATGGAGTGCTTACAGACACAATGTTCTGAAAGGGGAAGGATGAGGGCTGTGTGGGCTGAGTTAGGGAATAAGGAACACTCTCTGGCATCTGGTATCAAATGTTCTTACCCAAGTGTGGGCAAGGGTGACAGGGACAGGGAAAGTAAGAGTCCTCCAGTGTACTACCTGTTAATGAAAATCTGCGTACATAAAAAATTTGAACTTGAATGTTCATAGCAGTATTATTCCTAAGAGTTTCAAATTGGAAACAATCCAAATGTCTATTAACTGGTGAATGAATAAACAAAGCATGGTAGATTCTTAGAGTGGAATATTACTTAACAATAAAAATGAACAGAACTAATAAGTGCAAGAATAAAGATAAATCTCAATATGCTGAGGGGGAAAGCTCATACCATATGATTCCTTTATGTCATGAGTACTTAACGTGATTCCATTTTATGTGAACTTCTAGAATGGGCAAAAACCAAAACTAATCAATAGTGATAGAACAGATAGATCAGTGATTGTGTAGGAGGGATTGACTATAAAGGAGTAAGCTTACTTTTTGTCCATTAAAAATACTAGTGGTAAAACTTTAAGGCAGTATAATTTTGTGATTAAAATTATGAACTCTGGTGTCATAAAACATATTGTGAGTTTTAGTCCTGGCTCTTCTATTTACTAGCTTATGTGACCTTGGGCAAATTATTTAACCTAAGTTTCTTCATCTGTAAAATGGAGGTATTAATGATACCATCTCAGAGTTGTTGTGAGGGTAAATTAAATTGCCATCACTGATAGATAGTAAGTGCTCAATAATGATGACTAATTTTGGCAGTATTAATATTTGTCAATGCTAATACTTACATCTATTACTCTTAATCTTGGAATGAGTATTGCATTTTTATATTTTTTTAAAAAGGAAGAATTGTTGATTAGGTTCCTATGGATCTTTGATATTCTACAGGAAATAACATTGCTATTTAGTTAGTCATAAACATGATATACTTTCTTTAATAAGTGAAGATAACTGATTCCTTTATTGGAAGGTCTATATAACCTTTGGCTAAAGCATCACAGTTCTGATTTGTTCATAATCTTTACTATTAATTTTTTTTTCTTTATGAGGACTGGCTGTCTACCTCTCAAATGCCCTTTTTGACATTTTTTTTTTTCAAATTTTTATTAATTTATTTTTGTTACAGATGTTTCTCCTTTCTTTTTGACATTTTAAATGGCTGAGGAGGATTTGAGAATTTTCTTTCCAAATCAGGGTTTCTTTGGTATGAAACTAATTGCTCAAACTTGGGCCAGATAAACCTTTTGAGTTTCATTTGCTGAGGGTGGACTCTAGAAACTCCTTTAACATTAATTTGAGTTATTTAATGGATTTTTATAAATGCTGTCATTTAAAAAAAATATTTTTCTTTATTGATATTAGAGAGAGAAAGGAAGGGAGAGAGAAAGATCGATGAGAGAGAACATTGATTGGCTGCCTCCTGCACGCCCCCAACTGGGGAACGGGCCCACAACCTGGCCATGTGCCCTGACCAGGAATTGGACCGGTGACCTCTTGGTGCATGGGTCGATGCTCAACCACTGAGCCACACCGGCCTGTCAAATGCTGTCATTTTTTTTTTTATCTTCACCCGAGGACATTTCTTCATTTTTTGTTCAGATAGAGTGGGAGGGAGAAAGAAGAGAGAGAGAGAGAGACATCGACGTGAAAGGGACACACCGAGTGGTCGCCACCCTCAGGACCCAACCAGGGCCAGGGACAAACTGCAACCGAAGCACGTGCCCCCAGTGGGAACCGAACCTGGGTCTCTCAGGACCGAAGACTGATGCTCTAACTGCTGGGCAAAACTGTCTAGGGCTTTAAAGGACCTAGCTCACTGGAGATTTCAAGATATTTTTCTAAGATCTGTTTATATTTTAAAATCTTTACTTTTTTGTGTGCTTTAGCAGTTCTCAAGTCTATCAATAGGAAAAAAAGACTGGGAAGAAATAAGATGATCAGACATGTCAAAGATTTAAAAGTTTTATGAGTGGGCATTGGAAAGGAGTTTCCTGTAATTATATGACTTAGTGTTGCCTAAATGCAGTACACTTTTGGACTGAGACATGTTTGCTTGTCTCATGTGAATGAGAATGTTTGCTTCTAGTTTTGTGTCTCATGACTTATATTTCAGATTCTTGAAAGTTGAGGATATGTCAAAGAGGTTTAACTCACATCCACATCAGGAATATCCTTCATTCAATTGCACATCAATAAAAAATGTCATTTTAAATTTTATCATTTGCATTTTCCTCAAATAATTGTTTTCTCTTAAATCTAATTTTGAAACCTAGTAATTTTTCATTTTTCAACTTTTATTGCAGTGCCTGATCAACTTTCTAGCAGGAGAACGATCATGGAGGTGGTGCCAGCTGAGGTGAATAGCTTGCTTCCAGAGGAGATAATGGACACTGGTATAACTTTAGTGGATGATGATAGTATTGAGGCTGTTATTGTTTCATCCCCAATTCCCATGGAGACAGAACTGGAAGAAATTGTCAACATAAATTCTACTGGTGACTCTACAGCCACGCCCATTTCCACGGAACCAATCACAGTGTACAGTAACCACACTAACCAAGTTGCAGTGAATACCACAATTACTAAAGCAGATTCTAATACCACAGTGAAACCAGCTTTTCCAAGTGGCCTTCAAAAACTTGGTGCTCAGACTCCTGTGACTATATCTGCCAATCAGATTATTTTAAACAAAGTATCACAGACATCTGATCTTAAACTTGGCAATCAGACCCTTAAACCAGATGGACAGAAGTTAATTTTAACAACTTTGGGCAAGTCTGGTTCACCAATTGTTTTAGCACTACCCCATAGCCAACTACCCCAGGCTCAGAAAGTTACAACTCAGGCCCAGTCAGGAGATGCTAAGTTACCACCGCAGCAAATTAAAGTAGTTACCATTGGAGGGAGGCCAGAGGTGAAACCTGTCATTGGTGTCTCAGCATTGACCCCAGGAAATCAACTGATTAATACTACAACTCAGCCCTCTGTGTTACAGACCCAACAGTTAAAAACAGTACAGGTAAAAAAAGGAGGCTTATGAATTAAAATGCATGTTAAAAATTAAGTTGATTGGTAGTTGTGTTTGTAGGGTGATTAAATGCTTAGTTTTTACTGAATTCTTTTGAATATTGCGTTTAGTCATGTGGTTTTTTTGGTTGTGTTTTTTTGTTTTGTTTTATTTTTTGGTAAAGTTTTATATGTCTAATCCTTTGACTATTTTTGCTAGATAACTTAGCACAAACTTAATTTTGGTTAATTTCAGATGAATGTATTCATAGCTTTTTACCCATCTTAAAATGCATTTTATTCTTAGTAATAGTTTGATTACAAGGGTGTACTGCTGGTATAAAGATGCCAGATTGCTGATGGGCTGTCAAAAAATCATTCAGACATGATTTTTTTAGTTAACAGATGGCCAAAGTCTAGGACAACTTGCTGCTCTGAGAAACCTTGGAGCCAGAAATAGTACATAGTAGGCAGTATGTGCCTTTCTTTGGAGTTGACTGTCTATTGCCATCACTTATGTTTGCATTTTGGAAAAGGCAGTGCCATGTGATGGAAGATAACATAATAGGCTTTAGAGTAAGACTGTAGATTTGAGTCACCTCTCTGCTAACCTACCACCGATGGAACTTTGGATAAGTTACTTACCATCATTGAGTTTTTTTACTTTAGCTGGAAGATCACTCTTTGAGCATGATGAGATATATAATAATGAAAAGTACTTGATGTAGTTCTGAAAACTTTGAGGATCCTTCAAAATGGTACCTATTATCAGTATGAATAGGACCTTAACATAGAAGGTTAACAGAACATTTATTAAATGGTTTCCCGTTTTTCATGCCCAAATAGGCCTTTTTTGGTCACCACTTCTCTTAAAAATACACGGATCCACTTAAGACCAGGGAACACAAGTACATTCCCTCTTAAAAGAGTTGCCTTTTAGAAAAAAAGGAGAAGGCATGAGTTAGAAAATTAAAGCATGTGTATAAGGAGATAGGAAGTTTTGGGGAACTGTCCACTGTCAGCTGATAATAGAAATAATGTTTGGTTATTATGTTGACAAAATGTTAGAAATTTACATTTCATGGGCTTTTTATTTAAGAACTTGGTAATATTTCTCAAACCTTGTAATTTGCCCATGTCCCTTCTGCCACTGTTGAATATTCAGTGTTCTTTTATTTTTGTTCATTATCATCACACTTATCTCTGACTTCCTTCTACTTCTTTTGATGAAGTTCTCTTGAATGAGATACCCTATCACCATCAGACATCCTGTCCATAGCTTGTTTTTTAAATCAGTTTTCAAACTTGTTTTTTATTGGGCATGTGGATCATAACCATGTCACAAGGAACCGATAATGTAAATCAGAATGTCATTTTTTTTCACTTACAAGAGCAATGTATACATACTGTTTTAATGACCAATTTACTTGTATCCACTAGTTTTCTACTATAATCACCTAAGTACTGACAATAAAAGCAAAGACTGGGTCCTAATTTTTACAACTTCTTTTATTGTTACTTTTATAAACCCTAATTCTATTTATGAAAAAGAATGTTGGTTTAAAAAAAAATAATGAAGCAAAAGAAACCCCATTTAGGATATTGTTCTACTTGTCCAGTTATTTTTAGGCAACCCAAATCCTTCTAACTCGAAAGTAATCTACAAAGCTCTGAAGCACAGAAAAAAACAAATAAGCTGCACATCTGTATGTTTCCTTCTTAGGCACCAGAATATTTGGTTTATTATTACGTGGTGTATATGATTCTCTGGTTTTTTTCCTAGACAGTCCTCAGCGTTGTCTTAAGTTTAATGAGTATTGAAACTGTTAGGGTATGGACAGCAGGTAAGGGTGGAAGAAGGAGACTCATCTTGAAAAATGAAGGAAAGAGGTGACAGTTGAGGCCAGAGGCAGTAACAAAGAGGTATAGTTACACTTAATTACAGATATATAAACACTTTCACATGTTTCTTGTGCATAGTATATAAGAGTAATAAATAACTAGCAGTCTGGAACAGCGTAACTCCTAACTAGTTCCTATATCTATATAATATGGTTCCAAAGATTACCTGCATGTATTATTTGGTCAAATATTTGGCTATCTTATTTGTAAATTTCCTTTTTGATTCATTTTTGTCTTAATCTGCTGATTGGATAAATTTGTTATAATTGATCCTTTATGCTTTGTTTTACTTAGTAGAGTAATTTTGTTCTAGGGTAGTTTAGAATTCATAATACAAAAATCACGGTTCCTTGATGGAACTGGAAATCATTATTTTTCAGCAAAGCTTCATTAAAGAAACATAACAAGAGGGCAGGTTGAGATCGTTTATTTGATAAATTACCGTGCTTTTGGTTGTATTGTTTACATTTTTTTTTATTGGTAAGTACTCATATAGTTATATGATTGTGAAAGTTAAAAATGGGTAAATATTTTAAGTTCCTAATCTTTATAGCTAAGATTATTTTGAGACTTGGATTTTAAGAATATCACTACTTCTACCTCTTAAGATTATTAATACTAAGTAAATAGATGACATATTTTGAACTACTTTAGAGTTTTAGTCCTATAAACACAGTTGTGGAAAATATCCCCTGTATGTCTCCCAAACTGGATCAGTTTTAAAAGTACAATTATGAATTTATTTGGCTATATCAGAGTTTTACAAGTTGGTTATTTTTTTAATGTAGTAATGCATCCCCTTGTTTTTTAAAAAAGCTATTTATATTTCATTAGAATTTTGTTTTGTCAATAATATGTTCTGAGTGTAAAAAAAGTAATATATGCTGAATGTAACAAAATGTTTTATTTAGTTTATATTTTGAGCACAAAGCTGTGACCTGTTACAGCTTCTGATACATTTCTGTCATTCAAGTTGGTCATGTGAATTCATTTTGAGTCATTATTTCCAATAATAAATAGTACTTTCAGGGCCTCAATTTTCATATCTGCCCAAAGATAAAATTAATAGTTAATGTCCTTCCTCTTCTAAAATCTATTATTTTTATCATACTTAAATTTCTGCTTCTAACTTTTAGAAGAAGCTATATAGTTTCATACATTGATAATTTCAGTATAAAAACATTGGTGATTCTACCTTCCTTGACTTGTGGAGAATTTTAGTTCAGGTCAACAGTATGCTAATATACAGCCCAAGAACAGAGATTAAACAGTATCTTAGTAAATAATATTTGAGAGGTTTTGCCCTTAGAACAGTCTTTTTTCCAAAGTTGTCTCTGTAGCGTAGGGCATTAACTTATTCAGTTCTTCATTTATCTACCCCTGACGTATAGATCTAAAGCTGAACATCTATCTAATCATAAGCCCATCTTTAGTGTGTATTTATGTTTTGCTTCCAGGGGTCAATCTAATTATATTTACAGGTGGCTTCATCATTTATACTACTCTTTCCTTTAAAAAATTTTTTTAAATTTATTTTTATTTTTTTTAGAGAGGAAGGGAGAGAGATTGAAACATGGATGTGAAAGAGAAGTGTAGATTGGCTGCTTCCTGCACGCCCCCTACTGGGGATTGGGCCTGCAATCTGGGCATGTGCCCTAAACAGGAATTGAACCAGCTCCTCTCAGTCCATGGGACAACACTCAATCCACTGAGCCACTCCAGCTGGGCTGTACTCTTCTTTCTTAACTTATTCTGTTCCATCTTTTTATTATTGAATAATTTGTTATTTTGAAAAAGAATATTGCTGTGCCATAGTGTTTTATTATTATTAAATGTTTATTAAATAAACTTTATTAAACATTATCTTTAAATATTAATTTGGTTTTCATCATTTCTCTATACCCCAGAGACTAAAATAAGATGCATAGGTATTACTATATATTGGCCTAAGGATGTTATCATATTAATATTTTAATGAGTGGCTACATTTTAAATGTTTTAAACAATACTTAGATATGTTTTGTTAAGGGAACTGGTTTCATGTGTACTTCTGTATATCAGTCTTTTGTCTTATTTTGATTGAATAGGTGTTTTATAGAAATAAATGGTCTTCATAGTTATTTATATATTTCAGATTGCTAAGAAGCCTCGAACACCAACCTCTGGTCCAGTAATCACGAAGCTGATTTTTGCAAAACCAATTAATAGTAAAGCAGTCACAGGACAGACAACTCAAGTATCACCACCAGTCATTGCAGGTTATATTTCTTTATAGTTTATTAAGCTATATATTTACCTTCCTTTTAAGTTTAAAAAAGGCTGTTCTGTCATCTTGAAATGTACTAGTGAAACAAGTATAGCTTATTATAAACCAAACTGGTTAATGAGAAATGTTTCACTTAAAGTGTGCTTCTAGCAAAATGTATTATCTCAGAAGCAGTTTATTATTTTTCTCCTTAGTTTGGGGTAGGATTTTACCAAGAAAGTAGTACAAGGTTTTCAACTCTAATAATACTAGCTAATATAGTGTTTACTATGTGCCCCGCACTATTCTTAGCTCTTTACATGTAGTGTCTTCTATAATCCTCTGGCAAATCTGTGAGGTAGATACTAACACTAGCCCCATTTTGCCAGTGTGGAAATGGAGGTGCTTATCTAGTAAGTAGCCAAGCTGGAATTTGAACCCAGGCAGTTTGTCTCTAGAGTACATGCTAAGTCTAATAGTTTTAAATTAATACACATGGGAGTATAGTACTTCATGGTTTCTGATTGAAGTTTTGGTTTCAGTGTTTTAATATTCTCTATAAGCAGTTTTCTATGAATAGAAAATTGTCACAATGATGCAGTTACTTAATTGCTAACCGAATTTTAGCTATAGTTTGACAGCAAAATCCTTAGTATGACCCAGTTCTCTTTTATTATATACTTTAAAATTTGTCATCACCCAATAACTATAAGACCTCAGTAATCTTTTTTTAAAATTGATTTTATAGATAGAGGAAGGGTGAGAGAGAGAGAAAGATATAGAAATATCAATTTGTTTTTCCACTTATTTATGCATTCATTGGTTACTTCTTGTATCTGCCCTGGCTGAGGATTGAACCTGCAGTCTTGGGGTATTGGACAGTGCTCTAACCAACTGAGCTACCTGGCCAAGGCTAGACCTCAGAAATCTTGATTTTAGTATTTCATTCTCTTTATTCTAGATCAGTGGTTCTCAACCTTCCTAATGCCACAACCCTTTAGTACAGTTCCTCATGTTGTGGTGACCCCAAACATAAAGTTATTTTTGTAACTACTTCATAACTGTAATTTTGCTACTGTTATGTCTTAGGTGACCCCTGTGAAAGGGTTGTTTGACCCCCAATGGGGTCACAACCCACAGGTGGAGAACCGCTGTTTTAGATTATCCACCTTTGTATTCCCACTCTGGCAATTCTTTGACTTGGAAATCTCTGATCCATTAACCTACTTTCTCATTAATAATTACTCCTTCCTGTCTTCACAGTCTTCCTTACTCAGCATGGAGTTCATGACCCATCATTATTACTTTCTTGCAAAAACCACTGATTATCTGTTTCCTTTCTCTTTCTATAATAGCTTGGATAAGTTCATCTCTCTTAACTCCTTGCCTGGCAGGCAGCTCAGTATTTCTAGAGAAAGTCACATAGCCATGGTGACTGGTCTTTAATTTAGTATTAAACTACCATTACTCTTTTCACCAATTTAGACCTCATTTCTAACTTCCCTTGTGCTATAAGGAAACACCTCTGGATGGTAATTACCCATTCTTATGTGTAGTTTTGTTTTGTTTTTTTAATTTTCACCTGAGGACATTTTCCCATTTTTTGTTCAGATAGGGTGGGAGGGAGAGAGAGGAAAAGAGAGAGAGAAACATCTACGTGAAAGGGACACATTGAGTGGTTGCCACCCGCCCGACTCAACCAGGGCCGGGGACAAACTGCAACCAAGGTACATGCCCTTAGCAGGAACCTAACCCAGGTCTCTCGGGACTACAGGCCGACACTAACCGTTGAGCCAAACCGGCCAGGGCTCTCTTTTGTTTTGTTTTTTTTTAATATATTTTTATTGATTTCTTTGAGAGAGGAAGGGAGAGGGAGAGATAGAACATCAATGTGAGAGAGAAACATCCTTCTGGGGATTGAGCCCACAACCTGGGCATGTGCCCTGACCAGAAATTGAACTGGGACCTCTTAGTCCATCAAGCCATACCAGCCGAGCTCTTTTATTATTATTATTATTATTTTATTTTATTTTTATTTATTGATTTTAGGAAAGGAGGGGAGAGAAAAACATCAATTTGTTGTTCTACATATTTATGCATTGTTTGTTTGATTTTTATATGCTCCCTGACCAGGGATCTAACCCGCAATCTGGGAACATTTAGATGATGATGTAACCAGCTGAGCTCCCTGGCCAGGGTTCTTTTGTGTATTCTTAATGAGTGTTCTTCAAGTTTTAACTAGCCATGGATGGGGGAGGGGGTATATATTGAAACCACCCACTACTGTCTTTGATAAATTTACAGACAGCGTAACAGTAGGCAACTCTGAAGTCAGTGGCCACGATTTGCCATTTTCCTGAGGTTTGGAATTGTACGCAGGGAGGCTTCTCATTTTAGCAAATGAGAGAAGGCATGGAAAGATTGTGATTTGAGGGCAGTGTGGAGTGAGTGAATGTTCTCTTTTGTCCTCAGTAGAGATTTGTGGTGGATAAAGGAAGCGGGTGTCTTGACTGCATGGGAGGCAGGTATAGCCCCAGAGGAAAGATTGGGAAAGGGTTGTGATTTGGAACTGATTTAGGAAGTGGGGGCTTCAGTTGGCCAAAAGTGAGCAAGGCTTGGATGTGTTGAAGAAAATGGAGCTATCAGATCCCTGGGAGGTTTTGGATAGGTGGAACTGCTTAACCAGGAGGGCTTCTTAGTACAATGTCCCTTACTGTTTTGGAGTTTGAGAGAGTTCGTTAAATTTTTTTAACTACGGTATGTGGGAAATTGTATGCTAAACAATTGGTGGTGTTTGCAAGAAGTGTCTGGCTGTGTTTTTTGGTTAATGTCACAATTTCACCTCTTACATATAACTGTAATAAATGCCATTGTTGGGTCTTTAGATCATGTATAATGTGTTGCACACTATTTTACCTTATACTTACAGATTTATTAGCCTTACCAAAATGCATAGAAATAGACTTCTATTAAATTTCACTATTGTTGGCATTAAGTTCAGTTTGGAGGGATAGTTTTTGTTAACTAGTTCTTCATAGTCTTTTAAATTCATAGAAACCAAATTTTAAACCACTGAAGTAGCTCTCCTTTTGAATTGTCTTATTCATGAAGGTTTTATCATCTTTATATTGTAGCAAATGATCTTTCAAAGTACATTTAAATTGTTTTTTAATGACTTTTGGGCTTCTCATTGATGATGGTTATCTTTTTCTGTCTCTCAGTCAAGCTAAACTTAGGTTTGTATATACGTGATCTTGTTATACCCTTGCTTAAAATTTTTTTTGGCTGTATCCATTTCTGGGCTTCAATCCATTAGGATTAAATTAAAATGCCAGTGCTTTCTTAACATTAAAGACATTTATGATCTAATACATGCCCTTTTTATTTTACCTCCTATCAGCTCCAGACCTACTGATTTAAATTACAGTGATACCTCGGTTCTCGAACACCTCGGTTTTCGACCAAATCGGGATTCGAGAAACTTTTGTCTCGGAATCCGAACAAATATTTGGAACTCGAACTTCCGAGATGAGCCGAGTTGAGCCGAATGGCATTCATTCGGCCCAGCGCGCCTTGCTTGCGTCATCAGTGTGAGTGCAGAGAGAGAGTCACGCTTTGTGGAGTCACGCTTTCCTATTGGGTTTCATTGCTTCAGTTCTCGAACAATTCGGTTCTCGACCGTCCTCCTGGAACGAATTATGTTCGAGAACCGAGGTATCACTGTATTTTAAGAGATTACCAAATGGACCATGTTCTCTCAGAACTTAGGATCTTGACACTGTTCCTTTTACCTGAAATGTCTTTCTGTGCTGTTCCTCATGGCTAACTCATCCATTTTATCTTTGGATTACCTCCTCCTATCTTGGAAGCTTTTGACCCCTAGGTTTAGTCAGGTAGTGTTCCTCTGACCATCTCCTATGTATTCCATAAAACTTAGTTATACTTACCAAATACTTAACTTTAATTAGACTTCTATTAAATTTCACACGGGCTTTTAGAATTTCTTTTAGTCACACTATGTTGTGATACTTGTCTTTCTTGTCTAACTCCCTACTAAATTCATTATTTTTCTTAATGGTAATTTTTTTTGTTTTACCATCTAGTTTAAATTAATTAATTTTTTAAAATGGTGGTAAAATATATATATATAGCATAAAGTTGGCCATTTTAATAATTTTTAAGTGGATGATCCAGTGGCATTAAATACAGTCAAATTATTGTGCAACCATCACCACCATCCAACTCCAGAACTCTTTTCATCTTGCAAAACTGAATCTCTGTACCCATTAAATAATAACTCCCGCCCTAGATGGTTGCTCAGTGGTTAGAGCATTGGCCTGTGGACCAGAGAGTCCCAGGTTTGGTTTCCGCTAAGGGCATGTACCTCGGTTGCAGTTTGTCCCCGGCCCCTGTTGGGGTGGTGTGGGTGGCAACCAGTTGATGTGTCTTTCTCACATTGATGTTTCTCTCTCTCTTCCTCCCTCTTCCCCTCCTGCTCTATCTGAAGATGAATGCAAAAATGTCCTTGGGTGAGGATAAACACACACACACACACACACAAATAATAATAACTCCCCATTTCTCCCTCTTCCCAACCCCAGCAGAGACTTTCTGTCTCTATCACTTTGTCCTTTTATGACTGACTTATTTTCTCATGGTTCATCTATGTGATAGCATGTATGTATGTAGCATATCGATCATAGTTCTTTTATCTTTATCCCTCCCATACCTGGCACAGTTTCTGGCACATAGATGTGGTTCAGTGAATGTGGTGTTCAGTGAATATGAAGCAGTGTAGTGGTATGGAGGGAGCTATTGGGAGACTTGTGTTTTAGACATGGCTCTTCTATTGATTTTCTCTTTGCTCTTGGGTTGTTCATCTTGTTTATTTTTATAAAATCTTGATACCAACCACTGCATAAGACTTTTGAGATGGTTAAGTGAGATTCAGAGGTCCTTGTTATCAGAGCTCCCAAGGCACAAGGTTGCTGCAGTGGAGCAAACTTCATCAATGTGAACATATTCACTAATTAATTCATCTCTTTTAGAATTAGTTCTCGCTCAGATAAGCTAGCTCCCTGCCCCAAATTGCCCCATCTGTAGCTTTCTGGAATATGTCTCTTTTGATTCAGGTAGAGAACACTCTGTAGTATAGACTCTATAGAGTCTATACAGTAGATATAGAGTCTTGCAAATTGATTTCAGGGTGAAATTGTATAACTCGCATACTTTCTTGAATTTGTCTACAGAGCTAAGGATAAAAAGGGATTTGGAGATTAAATGATCAGAAGTGCTATCGAGATGAAGAACAGGCAGGCCTCACAGTGGATTTGATTATCCAGCATCTACTTGAAACACTTTCAGTGACTAGAAACTCACATATGTTGAAACAATCATTTCAATTGGAACTCTTTATTAGAAGTTTTTTCTTAGTGCTGAATTGAACTTTTTTTTTTCTATGCATTAGTGCTATGCAACTGATGATTCTAATCCTTCAACTTGACAGCCTAGGTCAGTTGGGATAATCTTAGCTTTCCTGCCATAATAAACAATCTCTAAATTCAGAAGTTTTTAAAATTCCCCAATTTTTATTTTTTATATATACTTCATGATTTTCTGCAACTCTATTGTGTACTAGAAAGAGGGTTCTTCTCATGAATCTCTCAAGGACGCAGGCTGATAGAGGAGCCATCATCTCAGATATGGCAGAGGAAAAGCTTTCAGTGGCCTCCATAGGCAGTAAATATTCTGGCAAAGAAATGACACACCTCACTTCTATTCATAATTCATTGGCCAGAACTAGTCACGTGGACCTAACCTAACCCCAGGGAGTGAGGAGGCGTAGGAAGTGTAATTCTACCAAGTGCCCAGAATGGGAGAGAATCAGAATACTTGGAGAAACATAGATGTGAGAGAGAAACATCAAATTAGTTGCCTCCCATACACGTCCCAACCAGGGATCGAACCTGCACCTAGGTATGTGCTCTGGCTGATTATTGAACTCACAGCCTTTTGGTGTACAGGACAACACTCCAACCAACTGAGTCACTGGGCCAGGGCATTACACAGTCTTTTAAGAATTTGAGATGTGTCATGTCTTTGTATTCCTCTCTTGCCTAAGATAAAAATTACTAATATTTACACTTATCATGATATGATTTCTAATTCCCTAAGCCATCCACACACACTATGGTTTTTCTGTATTGTTCCTGAACGGTATTGTCCAGAAGGGAACACAGTATTTCTGTATTCTTATTGGAATCTGGCCATAAAGATTCCTTTTGGCAGTCTAAAATCAGACAATATTAAACCAGATAGTGTTCAAGATAGTCCAATAACTGTTTTATAGATGTTGATTTAATTGTATCCTATGGTTTAAGTTCAAAGAGTAAGACAGCTATAATATAGTAGAAAACAGAGATTGAAATTTTAAGACTTCAAAGTCTTTGTTATACAGGGCATGTTACTTAGTTTTTGAGCTTTGTTATACAGGGCATGTTACTTAGTTTTTCTGAGCCTATTTTCTAATAGATTTCAGGAGCTTTGTTATACAGGGCATGTTACTTAGTTTTCCTGAGCCTATTTTCTAATAGATTTAACAAGATTTATGAGAATGTGAGCAGAAGTGTTTTTGTGGTCTTTATTTAAAGAGGTATTAAGATAGTAAGTGTTACTTAGAAACACTGTTTTGTTTCTTTCCGCTTAGGTTCATCATAGTTCATTAGGGACCCACTGGAGTGTTTAAGTTCATTTTTGGATATATATGAGATAGTAAACATATACTACAGTCCTTGTGAGTGTAGATCATCATCACATACATTTTTATATTATTATTATAAAAAGCCAAACTGATGTGCTGCCTCTCATTTGCAGGTAGGGTTCTTTCACAGTCTACTCCTGGGACTCCATCAAAGACCATAACAATATCTGAAAGTGGTGTTATTGGATCAGCTTTAAATTCTACAACACAGACACCAAATAAAATAGCCATCTCACCTTTGAAATCGCCAAATAAGGTAAAAAAAAAAAATTAACCACAAATGCCAAGTATTGTGGTTAACGCCTTTATTTTCTTACTGGTCACTTCGGATACTTCAGTTTTAACATATTCCCAGGCAACTGAATAGGCATTCAGTGAATACTGGATTAATCTAGTAATCGAGGATATATGACATAAAAAACTTACTCTAAACGCATAAGTAACCTAGAAATCACTTTGCATGCTAAGATGATTTTCATGGCCCATATAAATATGGGTACAACAAAAATATTTTGAATGAGGTACATTATGTGTTTTGTTCTTCTTCAGTTAATATTTGTGCAAAATTACTGTCTTTGGGTAAGTCACATATATGTATAGTGACTATATAAATCTAAAATATAACTTTTTGATAAAATACTCTGTGTTTTCTGCTTAAGCTGTCTTGGGTTTTATGGAGATCTGAACTTTTGCTGGGTAACAGACTAGTACCCAGAGTACTAGAAATTGCCATCAAATGCTGGTAACCATATTATCAGAATTTTAACACTTATGTGCAATTCATTCAAAGCATGTGAAAGCTTTTCATACTTTGTTTTCATTTTAATGTGGCCAAGTACCTATCATTTTACTCTTAGGTCAAGTAAGTAATTGTAGCTCATTTTTCTAAAATATACTGATGTCATTATACCAGCATAACATTTTGAAAAAATATGCTTTAAAGGACATATTCAGTTCGAAACCCAAGCATCATTATTCTGTAAGGTATCACTTTTGTGATTCTGGAAACGTACTACCTTTTGTACCCACCTTTTCCCTTAATTTGTGTTCATAAATAGAACAAACTTTAAACATTTGTCTTATATTTTTAAAAAGTCTAGCTGTTAGTTTCTTGAATATAATGTATAAATATGATGTCTCTTAACAGTTTATTAAAATGGGATTCTACCTGCATAATCATATAGATAATCATTTACTTAAATGGGATGAATTGAGCAGATATTTGAGTGTTTATATATGCTATGCATAGTGATAGGTACTGGGGATAAAAGCATGAGTCAGATAAGTTTTTTTTTTAAGTATGTTCTTACTGATTTTTTTAGAGGAGGAAGGGAGAGAGAGAAACATCAGTCAGCTGCCTCCTGTATGGGGATCGAGCCTGCAACCTGGGCATGTGCCCTGACCTGGAGTTGAACCGGGACCTCTCAGTCCATGGGACGACGCTCAACCCACTGAACCACACTGGTTGGGCATGAGGTTTGCCTTTTTAAAAAGATGACTCATGGCATTGTGAAAAGTAGTTTGGAGGAAAGTAAACCTGGGTTCTGGGAAATACCAGTTATGTTAGCAATTCTCAACTTTGATTGAACTTTCAAAACACCTGGGGACCACTTAAAAAAACTAATGGCTGTACCCCATTTAAATCAGAGTCTCTAGGCTGGAGCCTAAGAACTAGACAATATTTTAAAATTCTAAAATGTAGGCCAGGGTAGAGAATCACTAAGTCAGATTATTGTGGTATTTCAAAAGTAAGCTAGACTAGTAGCTCAGGGGCTAGGGAGGAAAGATATGTTGAAAGAAGTTTAAGATATGATGACTGGACATCATGGTCTTAGGAAAGGGTTGACTCCATGATGACTCCTAGATTACTGACTGGAAAGCAGAGTAGAGGTTGACACTGGACTAATAGGACTGATATATGGGCTGTGCCTGATAGAATAAAAATAGGAACTAGCTTTAGTTTTCTCTCATCCTTTACTTTAGCTGTGCCGTATTGGGTCTTCTTTCCCTGCCTCTTGACCAGAGGTTCTTCATAACTATAAGCTGTTTTGGTGATTAAATTTACAGTTATGAAAGTCTAGTTAAAAGCTTACATCCTGTTAATATCTCTCAACTCAGACCTGAGTTGGCTCAGGGATCATGTAGTAGAGAAGACAAGTGTTACATCTGTTTCTTCACTCTTATCTCTTCTCCCCCATTCTGCTTTTGACTTCTGACTGTAAGGAAGGTTAGAAGAAAAAGGACAAAGTTTTATATAACTAGGATGATTGTATTGTAATACAGCTGCCAGTACCCTCTTGTGACAGGTGTTTAAGTGTGGACTTCTAGAACTGTGCATTTAGGAAAGTTTTGGAGACTGCCGTGGTTATGTCCACAATGCCCAGTTCTGTCGTAGGTACAGTGCACACTCCATCTACCTTTGGCAATCTCCTCCTGGCCCTCTTGACTCCTGTAGTTCACCTTCCAGCCTATTCTGCTGAGTGCCCTTACTTCAGAAGGCATGTTTTTGGCCCATCAAAATTCTGTAGCCCTTCTACAGAATCTATTTGGCTAATGGGAAACCTATAGAACAGTGGTAATAGTGCAGCTTGCCTAACTGCTATCCTCTATGTTCTTGCTCTACCTTTTTTTTTAAAAAAAAGTTCACCCTGGCCTGTGTGGCTCAGTGGTTGGAGTGTCGGCCTGAGTACCAACGAATCGTAAGTTTGATTCCCAGTCAAGGGCACATACCTGGGTTGCAGGTTTGATTCCTGGCCTGGTCGGGACCATGTGGGAGGCAACCAATCCATGTGTCTCATACCTGTGTTTCTCTCTCTCTCTCTCTCCCTCTCTCCTGCTCCTTCCCTCCCTTCCACTCTCTAAAAATCAATGGAAAAAATATCCTCAGGTGAGGATTATCAAAAAAAATTTTTCTTTTGGAAGGCAAGAACTTTGATGATCTGGTTTTAATATTTGTACCCCAAAACCTGGGTACACTAAGAACTAGAGAGTAATGACCACGCTAGCTGCCACATATTTATTGATTCAGGCAAACAAAAAAGAGCTCTCTAAATAGATCCTGAGTAAAGCCCAGAAAACTTCAGAACACAAAAGCAGAAGCTCAGATCCAGTACTTACTTTAAGGTCCCCAGCTGCTGAGAAAAACAAGGAGCTTAGATGGCTTTGTGGGCACCACACCTGTTTGCTCACCAGCCCTGGAGTTGAAAGAGGGATGAGCCCCAAATATGCCAGACATAAATAAAAAGTCGTCCAGGTGTTCATTCATCAAAAAATGATTTATTTGGGGGTGGGGAAATCACAATCCAAAATATACAGCCAAGGCTAGCCAGGTGGAAGTTTCTGTCCAGAGGGAATACTTTCGAGAGCAGAAGAGCAGATTAGGGGCAGTCATCACACTGGAGCTTGGTCCTGACTCTAGAACTGTCCCTGCAGGGTTCTCTAGATGACATTGGTGTGAGAACTCCTCCCATACGCCTTGTCTTGGTTAACCTTTATGTCATAAATCTTGACATCCTCAAACACCTCCCAGGGGACCTCTGAGGCCCCATCCCTCCACCCAAGCCCTGGACCACCAGGTTCCCACTTGGCTCGTGGGACACAGTTTTGCAGCAGAGGGACAGCCACTGCCACCACTCCACCCCATCGTGTGCCCCTGGGGAGGGGTCCTTCCACCTAGTCATACCTCCTGCAGCCAGCAGACAGCTGCAAACCCCTTCAGGAACAAGAAGCCTTCCGGCAAACTCTTTGTGAGGAAGGTGCAGACACACACAGATGGCTCAGGGATGGCCCAGGGCGACACCTGCAGCCCTTCTGCCATTGTGACAGCTCTATCCAACCTCTTGCTTTCAGAATTTAACAGGCTGGGACAGTTTCTGTGTTCACATATGCCCTGAACTCTTGGGGATATGTGTCTTGTTCTCTTTAAGAATTTTCTCATTGCATTTAATTCTGGTGGCTAGATCAAGATGGGCTTAAGAGTTTCTTTATCTCTATACATTGCCAGCCTAAGATTCAGATGTCAGTTTCTCTTCTTGGAGAATTCCTGCCTTTGTTCTTACTGAAGTGTAAAGACCTACCATTCTCTGTGTTTATGAATTTACTTCTTTTTCTCAGGAGCGCAGGCCGACGCTCTAACCGCTGAGCCAAAGTGGCCAGGGCTGAATTTACTTCTATTTCTAATCTGTTTTATTTAGTTTCATTTTCAGTGGCAGGAGGTGTGTGATAGGGATGCTGTCTTTCAGTAAATCTTGCATGGGTGTTTTGTCCCCCTTTTTAGAGGGGGAGTTTATCTTTAGTAGTTCTTATCATTGGGGGTCTCACTTCAGCCAAATTTTGAGATAGTAGAAAACATCCCATTATTTTATACTAGAAGGAGTTTCTGGTTTAGGCAAAGAGATATTGTTTAGTTCTTGGAAATGTTTGTCATTGAAGTACCTACTGATTATCTAGAGGAGGATGTCCATTAGGAAGCTGAATATAGGCAGTGGCTAAAAGAAAACTGCATACAAGGGAGCATGAGGTTGTGTGTACAGTGAAAAGAAAAGCAGGACTGAGCCACAAAATAATAAGAGTGGAAGAAAAGGAATCAGTGGAAGAGAAGGAATGGTAAGAGAGCTAGTAAGAGAAAGTAGGAAGGGAAAGATGATTTCAAGAGTGATACTGGGCTACAATTTCAAATGTTATAGAAAATTCAATTAAGAAAAGACTAAAAGGTAAGGATTTGCTGGAGACCTCCTTGCTCCATTGATCAGAAGTGGTCAAAAGGAAACTCCAAGCACCCACCCTTCTCTCTCTGCCAACACTGCTCATAATCTGACCACCAACTGCCTTGAATTTGCCGGGATTTCTCTCATTATTTATCCCTGTGTATATTGGGTACCACCCCATCTCCTTAAGGCTGTCAGTATCTTCTGTCCCCTTCCCCCTCCATCCCTAACTCCATCCATGCCCTCTGGAGTTCATAATCAAATCAGTTCCTTAAATTCTCAACCTCTTTCCTAAATGTTCCTTTTATCTTCTTGCTCTAATGGGTCCCTGGCTCATCCTCTGTACCTCTTAAGTGGTGATGCCTGTTTTTCTCCTTTGGCCCTTATACCTCTGAATTTGAAAGGGGGTGGAGAGACTGTCTTCCTTGATGCGTCTCATTAAAATTTACAGACCATTCTCACTCATTTCTTCAACTTTGAAACTAATGTTACCAGGTTTGTTGGGGAAGTCAGGCATGTCTAAAGTTTTTTGGTTTTTCAAAAATATATT